ATTAAGTATTTCTTTATTTTGTATTTAAAAAAACATATACTTAATTTGATTATCTTTTTTTTCAATTTAATTGTTTACTTAATAATATTTTAATTTCTAAACAATCAAATTGAAACAAAAAGGGTTTTTGTGCATAAGTCCCTAGGACCTAGGGATGGCAATTTTTACCCGACCCGCGGGTACCCGCCCCGCCCCGCCCCGAAATTTCCGGGTAATACCCGCCCCGCAAATAAAAGGGGCGGGTACGGGTTCTAATTTTTCACCCGTAAACGGGTTCGGGGCGGGTGCGGGTTTTTATATACCCGCCCCGCACCCGCCCCATAGACCCGCCCCGCATATATATATATATATATATATATATATATATATATATATATATATATATATATAATCATTATAATATATTTGATATCTTGATTTAGAATAATTGTTTTCATTTTAGGGTTATTTAATTTTTTTTTTTAATTTTTTTTTTTAATTTTTTCTTCAGTTTTACGGGTTTTTTGGCGGGACGGGTACCCGCGGGTTTTCCACGGGGCGGGTGCGGGTTGAGAAAATTTAAACCCGTTGCGGGGCGGGGCGGGTGCGGGTTGAACGGGTTTATTAACGGGGCGGGTGCGGGGAATGCAAAACCCGCCCCAAACCCGCCCCATGGCCATCCCTACTAGGACCCTAACCAAACATCTTATTATTCTAGGTTTAGGGATTATATCTCTTACACCAATAAGCCCATCCCTTTAATATTTATCATAAATAAAGGAAAAATTCATGTATATGACAAAATTACCCACAACCCTCCCAATTCTTAATTTTAACCCCAATTTATCAATTTTGACCACAAAAATCCAATTTTGATTTTATTTTTTTCAAACTTTTTTTTTCTTTTCAAGAAATATTTTTTTGTCACTGGATTCCGGCATTAACTTTTCGATTTTTTTTTCTGGTATATTTTCCGCCGCCGGATCTCGGCGTTGACTTTTTTTTTTTTTCTTTTTCCCTGGTCTATTTTTTCGCCGTCGGATTCCGGCGTTGAATTTTTTTTTTATTTTTTACGTCCGCCGTTAAACGTTGGCCGTAATTGTGCTGTCATTAACGGTAATTATACTGTCACTGACAGTCAAATTAACGTAATTATACTGTCAATGACAGTACATTAATGTAATTGTACTGTCGTTGACAATACATTTATGTTATTGTACTGCCGTTGACAGTAAATTAACGTAATATTATTATTTTCTTTTTGTTATCTTTTTTTTTAATTTTGTTTGATTTGCTGACAAGTCAACGTAATTATACTGTCGTTAACAGTAAAATAAATGTAAACACAATAATATTACTGTCAACCACATCAATATTATTATTATTTTTTAGTTTTTTTTTTGAGTTTTTCACGTAGTAACTTAATAATATTACTGTCTATTATTGCAATATTATTGTAAACACAATAATATTACTGTGGTTGGCGGTAATATTACTGTCAACCACATCAATATTATTTTTTTTTGGGTTTTTTTGTTTTGTTTGAGTTATTCACGGAGTAACGTAATAATATTACTGTCTATTATTGTAATATTATTGTGGTTGACGGTAATATTACTGTTATAGTAATGTTACTGTCACTCACATTAATATTAATTCTTTTGGTTTTTTTTTATTATGTTTACATTTGTTGAATGGTTAACATATTAATATTACTATATTACACAATAATAATGAGTTTTGTTGTGTTAATATTAATGTGGTAGAGATTAATATAGCAATATTAATGTGTTAAATTGTAGTATAGTTAATTTTACTGTGTTTAACAGTAATATAGTTAGAGCCCGTTTGGCTAAGTTTATTTAAAACATCTTATAAGCTCCTACATCTGATAAGATATTTAGGAGCTGATAAGCTGTTAGATCTTATTTTAAAAATTATTTTTTAAGATGTTTGGATATGTAGCTTATAAGTTACTTTTAGTTTTTATAAGTTGTTCAGGTGTTTGGAAATAAAAGGTCTCTTATAACTGTCAAACTAATTCGACTGAAATACTTTTGTTCCTAAAATATTATTATAGTATTTAAAAATTAATTTTTCAAATAAAAAAGAACAATATAAAATTATATATTAAATAAACTAAATAATTTTTTTGATGTATGTTGACATGACATTTGACAATTTTTTAAAATAAAATGAAGTGTAATAAAATAGTTTAATGAAACGGATTTGCGAAAGTTTTAACTTTTTGTCGCATTAATATATTAGTATAAAATAAAGGATGTAAAAGAAATATAATTTTTTTTATAGATAAAAGAAATATAATGTATTATTAAGATAATAAGAATATTCGGTATTTTTATATACATATAAAATATAAATAGAGAATAATTTTTTTGTTACAATTATTATGATAATTATATTTTAACTAATTATTAATCTTGATTACAAGAATATGTTGTTTTGATAAAATATAAATGTTATCAGTATTCATGTAATATATTAAAGTATTTGAGGGTAATTTTGTATTTTGAGGGTTTTAGGAATAAAATAAATAAGATCTTAAAGAAAAAAAGTGGGGCGGATGTACTTTTTTAAAAACATATTATAAGCTCCCTTACAACTTATTTTTGGAAAAAATAAGATCTTTTCTAATTTTTTTACCAAACACTTTTTAACAGTTTTTAAGCTCATAAACATCTTATAAGATGTTTTTAGGAGCTTATAAGCTTAGCCAAATAGGCTCTTAATATTACTGTCAATCACATCAATATTGTTCTTTAAACGGGAAAAAAATGTTACAGAAAGAAATAATTCTTTTTTTTGAAAAAGTTAACACCGGAGACCGGTGTTGACCGCCGATCAACGCTGGAAACCGATGGCGGAAAAATCAGGAAGAAAAGAAAAAAAAAAAGTCAACGCCAAAAACCGGCGGAAAAATCAGGAAGAAGAAGGAAAAAAAAAGTCAACGCTGGAGACCGATGGTGACGGGCGAAATTGTCTATAAAAATGTGCTGAGTCAAAATTGAATAATTTGTGAAATTTGACGTCAAATTGAGGTTAGATTATATTAAAAAATGAAATTGGGGCATATTAAAGTATGATGAGCTATTTTAGTCTTTTACAAAAATCTGGACCATGTGTGGACTTTCTTGTAAAATAATCTATTATCTCGATTTCATGAATAAATATTCATGTGAAATGCTCTTTACAGTTTAAAAATTGCTATTTACCGTTCAAAACAAAAAACACTTTATTTCTCTAAAACCCCTAAAACTCTCAAATTTCTCCAAAATCCCCCCATTCGAAAATTTTCAGAAAAAAAAATTCTTATGATTATTATTATTATTATTATTATTATTATTATTATTATTATTATTATTATTATTATTATTATTATTATTATTATTATTATTATTATTATTATTATTATTATTATTATTATTATTATTATTATTATTATTATTATTATTATTATTATTATTATTATTATTATTATTATTATTATTATTATTATTATTATTATTATTATTATTATTATTATTATTATTATTATTATTAGAACATAATATAATAATAATAATAACATACTAACATTCATTATAACATCATAACATAATAATAATAACATAGAATGTCAATAGTAATACATTCATTCCAATAAAAAAAACAAAACTAAATCAAACACTAGTTAGGATATCCCACGCTTCACGTCGACTCCGCAACACCTCTGGTATACTACTCTGACCTCCCATATATTGGAAAATGATTATGCTTCCCGTATACTACTCTGACCTCCCATCTATCGTCCGACAGTAGCTCTCCGACAATTTGAAAACCACAGCTTCTTTTTTTGCTACCGGTCCTTCTCGGGCGCGAGTCTGGGTTAGTTGATGGACATTCTCGTTTCTCCCCGTATAGGTCACAAGTCAGAAAAATCTTTTTTTTAGAACAACTTTTTTTTACCATTTTCACAAAAGACCTCTTGCAACGAACCTCGCCCAAACCACTACCTCATCCTTCGAATCAAACAACTGAGTTGTTGTAAAATAATCGGTATGATCAACTTCAATTGTAGACGTATCGTCCTGAAAAAAGCGTAAAAAAATTGATTAAAGAAAAAAAAAACGTTTAAAAGCCAAAAGCTTAATCTCGGGCGCCCAACGGTGCAGT